TTGCCTCTGTCTCCATATGTTTAGTGTAGATTTAAATTTTTCAAACACTCGTTCGCAATTGTTTACTTTAAGCCATTCTTTGTTGTGCGAGAAGTGCATGCCCAGTATACGAATCCCATCTTTTCTTAAGTCGATTTTCTTTATAATATCAGGTGGAAGTAGACAAGTGTCTTTTTCAGGACCTATCCACCCGACCTCTGACTTTTTGAAATTCAATTTCAAAGATGACATCTTTCCAAAATTTTGCAGAATACTTAGACATTTTTCAAGAGAGCCTACATCTTTTAAAATGAATGTGGCATCATCCGCGAATAGTGTAAGTTTAGTGTCTTTCATCTCACTTTCCATTAAATCAACTCCGATTATGTCGTTGTTATTTCGTATTAATTCAGCAAGAATTTCAATAACTAGTACAAATAACAGCGGTGAAATAGGGTCTCCTTGCTTTGTCCCTCTATTTAATGTGAAAAAATCAGTGACATTCCCATTATTTTGAATGCAGCTCCTTATGTCAGTCAACATTATTTTGATCCATCTTATAAAGGCTTCTCCGAAACCGAAATGTTTTAGAGTAGCAAATATGAAATTATGTTCCACTGAATCAAACGCCTTCTGGAAATCTGCAGCAAAAAGTATATACGATTTATTGTGTTCAGCTGAATAATCAAACAAGTCCGATATATATCTTAAAGGCTCTTGGATGTTTCTTCCCTTTACGAAAGCTGCTTGATTTGGATGGATAATTTTCGGCAAAATGTTAATTAATCTATCACTGAGTGCTTTACTACATATTTTAACATCAACATTTATAAGACTAATTGGGCGCCAATTTTCCAAAAGTCTTGCGTCTTTATCACGTTCGTCTTCTGTTTATATATAGAAATACTCAATATGACGTGTTATTCATGTGCCAACCAGTAGACGATTGGATGTTAGAACAAAGCAACTTGTGAAAAGCCATTCTGATCATGGTTGGCACATTATGATAATAAAAACATTGAGTATCGCTATAGCCAAACACAGGCAACGAATTTTAACAACTACAAAAAAACAAAAAACAAACAAACAAACAAAAAACGAAAAAAGATTTATATCGCACTCCTGGATAGCARCAGTAATATTACGATAGGATAATGTTATTTATTGTTGATGTCATACCAGTTTTAGGATTGTAAAGGAGCTTAGGTTTTTTTGCATCAATGTTCCCGTCAAACCTTGCCACAATTGCTGGTGAAGCTGACCTCTCAGTCTTTGTAGCAAATAACCGCTGACCAATGATTATGTAATTGCTACCRAARTGACGTAGCGATCGTAAATGAAATATTACCAGATATTCATTACTGGATGGATTAWAYGCTGCTGACGGCCACCCTTGATCACCTAATTATCACAAATASAAAAARAAGTCAAATWAGGAACAAACAGACCAGTATGTTGTCTTGGTAAGGACGCCATTTTGTACAGCAAAGCATGATGGGAAATATAGTCCGTTTTCACTGYATATCAGGATATATTTCCATGTTTAACTGACCTCCTATCCAACCTGGTAGAGTAGCAGTGATATTTAACACTGTCTTGTCTACAATACGTGCAGCTTGGTTCAATCGTAGAGCATAAATATGGTCAGCTATACCATCATAGTTGGCATCCCAGTCAAAAGCCACAAAATACTCGTTTCGCTTATCGTTGAATACCACRCTRTGATGCATGGCACGACCACGTAACATGGATGGGATCATCAAAAACGGTTTGCCWTTCTTCKCAAAGGCCCCAATGAACTTCGCCTGTACAACGATAAGGATAAAGTACAAAGTTGAATAAGTTTTGAGTCAATAGTGATGTTTAGTACTTTGTAATATTTCACTGATCAATGAAATGAAATAATAAGATAATATCAATGATTATTAGAATCTTGATCACAACCATTTTAATCATGACGTTTCTCCCACACCGCATAGAAAATACAGCCAATCAGAGAGCAGAAAGCCGACGACTTAGTTCAACTTTTATTTGCCATGGAATAAAATATTTATGTAAGGGTGCCTTACGGTGGAATATCTTACTAGAATTGTACATGAACACGAGTATTTCTTGCCTTAACAACGGTGACACTCTTGTCTTCTTTTCCTTTTCCATCTACAATAGTCACAGCATAAAACCAGTCTACCATGCCAGTAGGCCAGCKGTCCACCCACTCACTTGTCTCGGTATGACGTARTTTAGGGTCTGTTAAACCGGAAGCGTGTGGAGTCATCCCCGTGACGTCTTTAAAGAATACATTACTACGGTAGACATTGTAGTGCTTGAACTCTGAATGATTGTATGGATAATTGGGGCTTGAAAAATGAACATAGACTTAGTAGCTGTATAAACGTCATGATTTCTGTTCGCTTTATGCAGGGCAGTGGTATGCAGGGCAGTGGTATGCAGTGCAGTGGTATGCAGTGGTATGCAGGGCAGTGGTATGCAGTGGTATGCAGTGCAGTGGTATGCAGGGCAGTGGTATGCAGTGCCTACCTGTATGGTAATCCTGATGGTAGCCATTCTAATGTAATTCCGTCACAGGTCTGGCTGGCCGAGAGGCCCTGTACCCCCATACCACCAATGCTCCTTCGCTTGCGGTGGGATTGAGCTGCTCCAGCTAAGAAATCATCTTGAAAACTGAAATCTTCGTGGATGCTATCATAATGGTAGTCTAGAAAAAGATTTAGATTGTATGGTTAAATAAGAAAAGTGACGTAGTACCTGGTGAAATGTTGTTTTTGCAAATAATTTTTGGAAAACAAACAAATAGTTTACTATCGATATTTTCATTTCGCTTGTTTCTGTTATGACGTTTATTGTTCATTCATCGATTCTTGTCAGTTTTCGGGGTGGTGGAGGGAAGGGGGGAGGYKATTGTCAAGAGGGAGAAGTGTTTGGAAGTAGTATAGCCGGTACATTTATTACCATCACGGAGAACAGCTCCATCATATGGTATAYCACCATGGAAGCCATCAATCACACGAACGTCGACACTTGCTTTACCTACAAAACAGATATCAATTCTTACAGTTATCTATAGATGCTATCATAACGAACCCTACAGCATCACATCCTTTTTGGGATTACTGTGCGGTACCGACATTTCAGGGTCATATATCTGAGTCTGCTTACTGAAGTCTTGCCTACTTCTAGTGCCAGCACTTTTCATGCTCTTATAGGGCCAGACAGTACCTAAATGATAATATCAGGAACAACTACGCACTCGGAAAACGTCCATCCTTAACATCCCCACAACATACAACAAAGAGAAAAGCTACTGGCTAGTATCCAACTGAACGTTATGTCTTACTAGCAATTTAGCAATCTACTACGTCAACCGATTTAGTACACAGGTATTAAAACTTACTTGTAGTGAATACAAAACAAAGCACTATCAAAACGCGGCAAAGAACTGCCATTCTTGTCCGTCTTTGGTAAAACTGAACCAATGCCTAAGTGTGTTGTGATGAAAATGTTCGATTTATGATATATWTGATATCAAATTTCATAAAGATATGAYATCGCGCATTGTTCAATGTGATATTTGACCCATATTGAGGTAAATCCCCGTCCGTTTTCGCTGAGACCAAACAAATCCTTTGGAAGCACTGAATTCAATTAAATTGATATCATAATTAAGAGCGGAAAAAAACAATTTGTAAGAGAGTAAATACTATCTGGATATCAAGCATTTCGTTGTGAGCAATAAACGGTATATTACCTGTGTGCTATAACGCTCTGAAACTATAAGGTGGTCTTCCTGTGTTGTCAAAAGGTCAATCGTGTTCCTGGTTACTTATCACTTCCGTTTTCTCCTTCCCATTCTCCTATTGCAGAAAAATGGCGGGATCATGTCGGTAGCCTCCTTCCCAGGCAACTCTTTTTATTTCTCCTCCGGGCTTCCTTTGTAATGCTTATTGCGCGCCTCTCCTCTCGCTCCCATTCTCCCTCTTTTGGGTCCCAGCTAAAAGACAGGAAGCCCTGGTCATGCACTACCATTCAAAAAAGGTACTAGTGCACAATCTGATATAGCCAGGTGTTTTGTGGTAACCAGGTAGGTAGAAGGTAACTAACAGGTACGACGTAAAGTGCACAATCTGATATAGCCAGGTGTTTTGTGGTAACCAGGTACATGCAGGTAGGTAGAAGGTAAGTACGACGTAAAGTTTGTAGATACTGCATAGTATGATATGTTCTGTTTTTGTCGATGACAAGAACTCGGTGATATGTGCGGAACGACTGATTTTTTAGCCATTCCTGCACAAATATGTCAACATTGATGTCTCGTCTTGTAATTCAAACCATTGAGTTCACTCAAAGGGCGAACTAAACAGTTAACATCCTAATCTTCTCCAAATAAATAAATGAATAAATAAATAGAACATTGGACAAATATCATTCTCATTTCCTTTTCTTTACCATACTGATAGCAGCGCTATTCTTCTTTCCGGTTCATTGTCAGATYCATGGTGTGTTGCAGGAGTCTGGAAAACCAACGTCACGAGATCTGTGGCGTGACGTGATGAGGGCAGCAGGCATTGTCATCTTTCATTTTCCGTTTGTCCTTCGTCTTGACCATCTGGAAGGAACATATTCGACAATGTCGCAGCTTTTATCGATRAGTTCAGTATGGTTTGTACTTGCTCTTTTGCTGATCAGTTTATTACCGATGAGYGGTGAGTATCTGAAGAGGACATCGTTTCAGTTGCGCAACATGAGTCCCATTGAAACTTTGATCGTTTTATAGATGCTCGTCTAAGTTTTGAGAAAAGAGTTGAGCTAAAACAGCATTTACTGAACCCAAAACGATCTTCAAAGACGGTTCGTCCTGTGCAAGATAGTTCCAGTACAATTAATATAACCATGGACATGACTTTAAGCAATGTTATTGATATGGTAAGAAACACGTTTTATTATTATTCTATATACTTATAAACATACTGTAATCWTAAGCAACTAGGATTACCATCATGATGATCAACGCAAATTGCTCTTATAAAATCAAAATCCTTCATTGCGCAAAAAGAAAACTTGATTTTAACATTGAATAGCTGCGCAATAATATGAGTAACCCAGGATTCAAGCTAGACTGAATTCATGGTCGAGATRAGTAACTGAAACCGGAGAACTCAGTTCGTAACCTCTTTTGTATAATGTCATCCTGAGAGTTCCGCCTTAATCACAGTTAAGATTATAAAGTTCACATAAACAACTCAAAAGTGCAATAGTTGAAATTTCAGTGTTTATGGACTTCTATGAGATGATAAAACAGTAAGATTATTGTGTGCATTGAAACGAAATRTAAATATAAACTGTTCTTGATTGCTTTTTAATATACTTTCATATCAAAATTATATACAATTCATTAATTCCCAAAGGATTTGKATTTAATTATACCAATCTCTAGTATATATACAAGGCCGTCGAAGGCTGCCGTTTCGGTGTCAATGAGCCCAAGAGAGTGTGAAGACACCATCAAATCACAAGTCTGGTAGTTTTCTYTCTTTTGTTCGCTGGAGCAAATTGGCAGGTGCAACACGTGCTATGCAAKCATGTATCAAATCAAAAGTATATAGAAACATTGTAAACTATGCCAGGAATGAAGTATTCAC